TCAAAACTCGGACAAAAGTTGCTTTCCCCACGACGTTCAGCCCTAAGCTGACAGTGTTGTGGAAGCTACGTGCTCCCTGGGCTAGCCACACGCTCGTCACCCCACGGGTACTTCGAACGGCTCGGTTGTAACGCGTTGCCGCTATTGACACAACCACAACGCTGACAACGCCACCAACGGCAAAGTTCATAATCACGCCAGCCTTGCTACGTCACGAATGCGGGGAATCTTTTATTTCTTTTTGTTTGCGCCGGATATCCCATGACGCATCGCGCTCTCCGTTCGCTTCTCTTCGAGCGCTTGCTCGAGTGCACCGTTTGGAACGAAAAATATAGCCAGTCGTTCAAAGTACAAACATGCGATTATCATTTACGGTTATTATTCGTCATGATTAGATCATTTCCAAGCGAAATTTGAATATTTAAATTTTTGTTTCCGTACCCCTTTAATGCTTCCGAATTAAAAAGCCGTTTACAACTTCCTGTAACGCCGAATTAGAGCGCAGCTCTTCAGGAGGAGGAGGGAAGGGTACTGGGAGTGGGGGATCAACTGACTGGAGGGGGTCACGTGACCTTGGGGGGTCACCTGACCTGGGGGTAACGTGACGATGACAGGCCGATGATGTCATCAGTGACATCAGTGACGTCACTGATGACGTCATCAGTGACGGTGACGATGCGAATGCCGATGACGTCATTAGTGACGTCACTGATGACGTAACCAGTGATGATGACGATGCGGATGTCGGTGACGTCATCTGTGACGTTATCTGTTATGATGACGATGACAATGCGGATGCCGGTGACGACATCAGTGACGCCACTGACGACGTCATCAGTGATGATGACGATGCAGATGCCGGTGACGTCATCAGTGACGTCACTGATGACGTCATCAGTGATGATGACGATGACGATGCGGATGCCAGTGACGTCATCAGTGACGTCACTGACGACTTCATCAGTGACGATGACGATGCGGATGCCGGTGACGTCATCGTCACTGATGACGTCATCAGTGATGATAACGATGCGGATGCCGGTGCCGTCATTAGTGACGATGACGTCGTCGGGGGTCACGCGACCTCGACGGGGGAGACACGTGACCTTGGGGGGGGGTCACGTGACCTTGGGGAGACCTTGGGTTGACCTTGGTTACGCCGACGCCGACGGCGACGGCGACGGCGACGGCGACGCCGCTCAAGCCGGAAACGGGCGCCTAAGAGCTGCGCTCTAAAAAAATATATATATAATATGAGGTGCGCGATGTTTCGGGTGCGGGCGTTCGTTCAGGATTTCACGGTCCTTCCTTTTACTTTACGGGAAGCAAAAGCTATGCATCTTGTGCCTATGTCCCTTGCTGCACTGTAAGAGAATCTGGCCGCCGTAATGTCTTTACTCGTGTGAGCCAGCACGTGCAGTTGCGAGCCGGCACGGGGGGCTTCGGCAACACCACTTAGAATGATCAAGGCCTGTACCACGGTGTAAGATACACTCTTTAGGTGAGGACACGGCAGGGCTAAACGCGCGGCGCGAGGAATCAGATAGTGTTCGTTCGACGGGCATCCGAAAGGCTGCATTATTCCGCGGCCACTGTACCCGCGGCCACTGTGCCCGCGGCTCACAGTGTCGCCGGCGGCCAAACGGCGAAACTTTTGAGAGCGAAAAAATTTATCTCGTTGCCATGACACCCCGGTACACCCTGGCCTTTCTGCACGAGCGACAACTTCGCTGGAGCTCTGCGCGTGTGCAGCATGAGGCGGCACGAGCCGTCTTTGCCGTGCCCACGGTGGCCGTGCCCACGGATCGACGAGTCAAATGCCGGCGCCGCTTGAAGCCATAGTGAGAGAGAGAAAAAAAGAGAGCGAAAAGCGAACTTTATCTGCTCTCACTGCGCGAGGAGCGCGCTGTCCTCACCTGAAGAGTATTATCTTACACCGTGGCCTGTACACGCATTTTGACGTCATCCCAGTGATATCGATGCGAAGACACATATTGGAAACGAGTTCTGCGTCAGAGTTTGGTTTGCGCCTCATGACTAATGAACGCGTCGAAAAACTCCCGACATTGGGCTCGTGCTCAATTGCTGAGATGGCGCCATTCAACTGTGAAAACGTGCCATGGAGGAAAAAGAGATCGTTCGCAGGCCTCGATTACTCGAGGTGTTGTTGGCACCAGTCTAGGCGCCATGGAGTCAGGAACCTTCTGGAGGTGACATGACGCCACCATGAGGTAAAGCCAGAAGTGTGGAAGGATAGGCCGCCAACGGTGACCAAAACTACAACTGTTTGTCACCCACCCAAGGGTGTCCAAAACATCTGTGGTTTTGGTCATCGTTTTTTTATTTATTTAGGAAATACTGCGGATGGTTTTCCACCATCCTAGCAGGAGAGGGTTACAACATGTTTATAAGAAAGGAATCAACACTATTGGATGTTGAAGCGTTCACGCAGTCTGACGGCAGTGAGTTCCAGTCTTCAATGGTTCGTACAAAAAATGAGTACTTAAATAGATTATTTCTAGGAGCATATTGTCTAACATTTTTTTAGTGGTTTAGCCTTGCTGAGCGCTGAGGAGGTGGCTGAATATACAAGTCTTTACTTAAGCCAGTTTCGTTATGATAAATTTTATAAAAAAAACTTAATCTTGCAAATTTCCGCCTGGCTTCGAGAGATTCTAGCCCACATCTATTCAACATTTCAGAAACCGAGGAGAGGCGCCTAAAATCAGGAAAAATAAATCGTGCACTTAGTCGCTGAATCCTCTCCACTTTTTCTATATCTTTCTTTAAATATGGGTCCCACACGATTGACGCATATTCTATAACTGGGCGAACTACGGCTTTATAGGCTGAAAGTTTTACAGTCCAATTGCACGCTCCCAATTTCCTTCTTAAAAAACACAGTTTTTTGTAGGCCTTGGCGCAAGTATTGTCTATGTGGGTGTCCCAGCTAAGTTTCGTGTTAATATTTAGACCTAAGTATTTTACGTCATTCACTGATCCAATGAGTTTATCGCGGACATGATACGTATATTCGAGAGGAGATTTCTTGTGTGTTATTGTAAGAGCGCATGTTTTCAAGTAGTTTATAACCATCTGCCACCTCTCACACCAGTCAGCAATCTTACACAAGTTTTCGTTAAGCAATAATTGGTCCGAGGTGTTAATGACAGTAGTATAAATCACACAGTCGTCTGCAAACATTTTCACAGTCACACCCGAGTCAAGGTCGTCAGCTATGTCATTGACATATATCAAGAACAAAAGGGGTCCCAAGACAGACCCTTGGGGAACACCTGACAGGACATCAAGATTTTGCGATTGACAACCGTTAGTTTCTACAAACTGCGTTCTGTTCGTCAGATACGCAGAAATCCAGTTCACAAGGCGGGGAGAAGTTCCTACACACTGCAGTTTTTTTAGTAGTTGATAGTGCGGTACCCTATCAAAAGCTTTTGACAGATCCAAAAATATCGCATCAATTTGTTTCCTTTTGTTGATAGCAGTGGCGAAGTCATGTACAACTGATACGAGTTGAGTCGTGGTTGATAGCTTTTTTTCTGAACCCATGCTGAAAGCTGGCTAATATGTTATTGGATTCTAAAAACGAAGTTATGTGGCTGGAAATTATGTGTTCGAGCAGTTTGCAGCAACTGCTGATTAATGATATCGGCCTGTAGTTCGCAGCCAGCAGTTTGCTCCCGTCCTTGTGCACCGGCACAACCTTCCCACACTTAAGGGCGTGTGCCTCCCCACTTCTGGCTTCCCCTTCGGTGGTGTCATGTCACCTCCAGAAACTTCTGCCTTCATGCTGGATGAAATGTCTGGACTCGTATATATTGAGTGGGCCGTTACGTTGCCCGTAAATGGATTATAATATGTCAGCCTCTTTGCCCACTTCCTAGTAGGTTTAGGTTGCGCCAGATTTCACCGCCCTGCTTAAGTTGAATTGCAAAGGGTTCACAGTTTGTAGCCATCAGTTTCACAAGCGAAGCGATACGGATACGCTTTTAAAGCGAACCCTGAGAGTTTTGATCCTCTGAATATATTGAGTGATCTTATTTTATCCTACATGCCCACATTGCTTGGTGATAGGTGCGGGGAGAAAATTGGGTTAGAAGGGCTGGAGAAATCGTATGCTTGTCTTTTTAGAATTAGGCAAGTTGGCACTAGCTACCGCATGTTACAAAGGGTACAACCATTAACGGGACATTTCTTCGTAAGAGTAATGTTTGCCTGAGTCTAAAAGAAACTGCCAGAATTAACAACTAACCACGATCTCAAGCACAATTTCTGAAAGTAGCCAATCTTGTTTAGCGAGTGACGTCCCAGCTTGGATGTGAGAGGCGTACGTCACAGATCTAAAAAGACCGAAAACATATTTTCAACAACTCTTATACTAGAAGTACAAGTAACACGTCCCTCTAAAATGTCAGAGCATCACATATCCACGCAACAAAATTACTCCATTTGAAACCGCGCCGATATTTAGAGACAAAAATAAAACAGACTCCCGAAAAGCACGAAAATAATAAGAAGAGGCAAAGATTGAATTCCTAGGAAAAGACAAAACCCTCTGGCATCACAAGAAGGAAAAAGGTGGCGTTCTCCAAAGTGCTTTAAAGCCCGAGAGCACAAGATCCCCCACGCGCTCCTCGTCTCAGGCTCACGTTGTGGAACCGCAGCTCGCAGCGGCAAGACCTGGCAAAACCGCATTAGCGCCAATTTCCCACTCCGGAGGACGCGGACTATCCGCGGGTCGTCTGCGGCCTACGAGCACCACGTGAGCGGCGCAAAGAGACACAAATAACGCCTTCGGGCCGAGGCAGTCTCCCCAAAGGCGAAAGGGTGGGGAGTTCGCCGAGAGCGGGCGGCTAAAAGCCCCACGTGCGTCTAAGTTGGCGAGGACGTCTTAGAACAATGACAATCGGATTAGCGCCTGAGCCCCTTGGGGCTGCGGGTTACCCCGATAGGCTATATAACCCGCGCTCGGCTACGGAGAACATGCAACAGGCGCTCCTCGCGGCAGGAGCTACACACAGAGCAAGGCGGGGGCATGGAGCTGCGGGGCCACGATGCTCAGGTGAGCTGGACGGTGCGGCCGAGATATACCTTGGTCAAGACGGATTGCAGCATCGCGTGCCTCAGAAACAGGTCGCCTGGTCGAATGGAATACGTCGTGACATAAGCTGTAAGAATCGACAAAACTGAGAGCGAGGTGACCTCTGGTGGTTCACCGTCTCTAGGACCTCTCTACAGTGCCTGTGTATTTTCGGTTAGTGTCCCACTATTTTAGCAGTTGCAGATATTTGCAGCATAGATAACAAAAAATCCGAAACACAATCCAATTTTGTCAAAGAGCAATTGTGTTTATTTATGGAATTAATGTGCAACGCCATGGTTTCACACGTTGCGTTGTACTATATTGTTACAATTTAAAAAAAGCCCGTTCGTCTACTTTCCCGCACAACACTCGGAGAGCCAATCAGCACAACTTACAGAGGCAGCTCAGCGAATGAGGATGCCGAAACATCTGTTTAGACAAAAAAACGCAGTCTGAGTTGTGACATGAAGCAATGCATTGCTTAAAGTCACAACCCAGACAACTTTTTTTGGTGTAAACATATGTTTCGGCATCGTAATTCACTGAGCTGCCTCCGTAAGTTGCGGTGATTGGCTCTCTGAGTGTTGTGCGGGAAAGTAGACGCGCGGACTTTTTTTAGAGTGATATATATATGCTCGTTTTTCTAGCAAGCTACAATGCACAATTCTTAAGATTCACCCAAGGCGTTCCTAATGTTCCCAGCGAGACGCTTGCATAAAGCTCGTGACAGAGTTAAAATATCTTTTTTTCTGAGGGAAAAGATTTTTTACTAAACATATATAAAATGAAAAGCCAAAATGGCGACGGAATGATTGACGAATCTGTACGGCAAACATCACGAACATAATCACTCAATCATACACCGCGTTGTTCTTTAAAGCCGAGGTCACATATCTCATTCATCATACAAAAGAATCTGCAGACGTCAGTCATCTTGATATCCGTGGTTTGAATGCCGCGTGCCATGTTTTCTCCTTGAACTAATTGTCACGCGGCATTCGAAGCCCGGATCTCGCGGTGACTCGCATTTGAATCTGTATGCAGACTGTCTTTGGTATGATGTATAAGCAGTGTGACTCCGTCTTAAGCGACTACTGCCGCATACTTTTCCCGCGACAAGCGTAATCCTCCGATTTCGACGACTTGATTTGTTATACATTTTCTCTTGCCTCGACTTCATAAAGGATCAGAAGGTTTTCAAGGCGCTTAGCAAGTGGGACTGAGCTCGCACGCGAGGCAGGTTTCTCGGAGTTTCGCTCGTGGTTTAGCTCATAGAATGCTTGAGGTGGTTTTGGAAGCGTTGCACGCACGACGCACTGATGTACTGGCACTCATGTACTGACACAATTACGTTGAGAGCCACACTTCGTCTTTCGAGAACAAGATACCTGCGCTTTCATTCGCCTCCTTTTAGTGGCGCCGAGAAAGTACGTCGGGTTGTGGATGACACGGTCCCGGATTCCATTCTCGCTGCGCCGTTGACGAAGTTTCGCTAATTATGATTAAGTGTTATTAAATATGACTAAGTATGTTTGTATATGATTTGTATATTTGTGCATTCCCTGCTATGGGCTACGTATGCTTTATTTTGCTTTGGCCTGAGTGAACCACTTTCCGTCCCAATCGAGCGTGATGGTTTTCGCGTGAAATCCAGCCTATAAACAGACAATCAGTGAATAAGATACGTTTTAATTAGGTAAACAAAAAAACTTATAACTCGGCAGGTCTATACTCTATTCAATAACCTGGAAAATGATGGTGCCTGTTCCGCTGCCTCGGTTTATAGTCGAGCTTGCCAGATGGTTTGTACTGCAGCATAAACTTTGTAACAACTTCGCTTCACCTAACTCTGGTCGCAGTCCATGTTATCAGTCAATGGAACCAATCAAGCAGCGTGAAATGCGCAGCGTCAAGGCGTTCGTCGTCCTTCTGTGCGTATTCTATCGCCAACGCTATCACGGGCTGAACCAATCGTTCGTGTCTGTACGTCTTCCAGGCTTTGGCTGCGCTCTGCAGTATGAGGAAACGAGGTATAGCATACTAGGCGCTCGCTTGCTCTCATAAAATCCTAAGACAGAATGACACGTGAAGATGTCCATCAGAAGCGAGATCTAGCGAAATAAGAATATGACGGCGTTTTCAAAGAACAGATTTAGCGGCAATTGTGGTTTTGATGCTAGTGCTGGGCTGCGCTTACGCACATCTCCATTCACAAAATTGCAGAATGGAACAAAAACGGAGACATATCCCAGGCTTCGCTCGAAAGACGTGGTGTACATATTATACTTGAACGTGCACATATTTTTCGCCTGTTAATCGCCTCGTATTTTTCTTTCTTATTTTGATACTTAATTCAATAACATTTCTTTAAAGGGACAATGAAGGCAATTTCGGAGATCTTTTTGGCGATTGAACTGCGTTCCAGGCACGTCTCAGGCCACGTTGCCCAAATTTCAGCCGAAACCGGCGCTTGTGTGCCCCGCAAATCAATTAAACAGTCGCGGTAATAATCGTACCGGGATCGACTGGGGCGACGCCCCAAGAGTTGCGGGAGAAGCCAGGAGAAGCGGAGATCACGTGACCGATGCGGGGCCAAGGAGCGCGACGTCACAAGAGACGCGTCAGCGATTGGTCGAAACGAGAAACGTGCCCTCGGTCAACTAGTATCTAGTAACGTTGCCCTCGGTCACGTTTTGGTTCGCGATTTTTAGAAATACTGTTCTAATTTCCGCTTGAATAACCATCAAAAGTATAAATTGGATCGGAAATGATTACTAGATCGTAAAAAAAGCAACATCATTGTTTTTTTCTTTGCTACGCTGGACGCGAAACCGGCAACGAGCAACTATGGGCCAACAAAATAAAATAAAAAAAAACACGGTACTCGTTACTACTCGAAAGATTTTGCAAAATGGTAGCTGTAGATGGCTGTTCTAACGGTCGACTGAAGACCAGTATTCGTTCGGGCGACGCTAGTTTTCACGTGTGGGTTGCTGTTCGTGTTCTTTGACGACGAAAAGAGGACGTCCGCGGAGGGACCGGATCCCGGAACGGCGGGATCGCTGCCGCTTTCCCTTCGGCATCTCCCCCGCGTCCGCCCTTCGGCATGCGGGCCGCTCGTGCGGTCTCCGTCGGGTGATGGCAGAGGCCGCCACGCACGTACTCCCGTTCCGTTGGTGTTCGGTCACTGAACGAAAGCTCGAACTCGCTCGCGAAAGCGGCATTCGTCCATGTTGACAGAGTCGGCGCAACGACCGCGCCACCGCGCTGCTATAACCCACCGCGGTAGCCAGAGTCTCGATCTCCTAAATACTGCCGATACCGACTATTCACACTTGACGTCACTCCTACGTCACCTCCGTTTTCGGAGGCGTCGGAGGCCCAGAAGCGAGACTGGAGATGTTTCGGTTTCTTTACTTCTTTCGTAGGCTCACAAATACGCGTCATAAATGTCTACAAAAAATTGGGCGGCATGCTATGTTCCCAAGAAGCATTAAAACACCATTTGAAAAAATTAAATAAAATCGTCTTCATTGTCCCTTTAAGGTAGAGCTCACAAAGCCTAAAGGGAACACGCGAAGCGTGTGTTTTCTCATGGCAGTGCTGTCCTGGGGGAAGCAAGAGACAGCTCCTCGGCGTAGCATCTCAGATAGTTTGTTGAGTGGTACGTCATGAAATCGTGGCTCGGCTTCCGCCAAAGTAAGACTTCCATAAAACAAAAATGGGCCGAAATGATTGCTGCCGTTACGCTGATTCTGGAAAAAATGCGTTAGCCTTTCGCGCAGCGGTTGAATACAACAAAGCATGATGAATGCAGCCTGTCAGCACTTTTCCGCGGGGCGAACATTATCAAATCCCCTCTTCTTTCTGGAGCAAGCAGGTCAGGTCATTTAGAGTGTGCATAAAGGGCGACGGCCACACAGGATTGCCTGGTTATGGAGAGCGACGGTGTGACGTAACATCTAGCGACCGGGGTGCGGTAATGGACAGCGGGGCTAGAGCGTACTTGGGCCGCGGGCGGGGCGCCGGGAGGCGGTGTGCACGGGTGGCCCAAGGGGGGTTAATATTTTGTAATGAGCCATCCGCAGACTGCCGCCGCGAACCCGGGGGGGGGGGGGGGGGGGGGGCTAGCACGCGCCTTAATGATACGCCCGCCGTTCCCCACTGTGCGGCGCCGAAATTGGCGAAGGGGGCCGTCACCGGCGATCTTGGGTGGGTCGCTGAGTGTTTACGTCACGGCGTCGTTCCCTATAACCAGCCAATCCAGTGCAGCCTCCGTCGCTATGCGTCCCGTCGCCAAGCCTCTCGCAATATGCACCCCGTCGCCATCTGTCGGCGCTTGCAGGAGGTATTTCCTAGTCTGTTTCCTCAGGCAGTGGGGCTGTGTCGTTAACCTGTGGTGACGTTGCGAGCTTTATATCCGTGTGCTTCAAACCAGTCCAAGGTCAGCCCATGTGCCAAGGCACTAATGCCAAGGCCTTAAAAAAACACAGTGCGCGTGTTCCATTTAAGATTGGTGATCTTGGTGATTGGTGAATGTTACGTACGCATGGGACGAAGTTCGAGGGGAGAGATACAGATTGTCGGAATGATCAGCATCTTCAGGGCGATGACATTTAAAGAATAAGCATTCGAACCTACACTTTATTAACCTGAACGCAAGAAGTATTGTTAATAAAACTGCTGAATTAGAATATATTCTCCTTACTAGAAAACCAGACCTGGTTGTTATTACTGAATCTTGGCTCCATCCCTCGATAAATGACAGTGAAATAATCCCACCAAACTATAACATACTAAGAAACGATAGAGCGAGCAGGGGGGAGGCGTTGCCATTGTTATAAGATCTGGCATTCAATATGTTCGGTTGGACGATATCGAAAACAATGAATCAGTATGGTGCACTATTCAAATTAACAATATGCGCGTAATAGTTGGTAGAATTTATCGTCCCCCAAACGCTGACATTACTTTTTTGG